TTCTTTTAGCACTTTGAAAATATCATTCTAATGCCTTCCAGCTTCCATTGACTGAAGACTCAACAGCAGCAATTTCAACTGTTGTTCATTTAGACTTCTTTCCTCTAACTAAAGGTTTTCCTCATCTTGGCTTTTCTGCAGCTTCCCTATGCTCTGTATAAATATGGATTCGCTTTTATTTGCTCTGCTTTAGATGGCTAGCTTTAACTTTTTGGATCTGTGGGTGTCTTTCATTAGTTCTGGAAACTTCTCAACCATTGTTTCTCCAAATACTACCTCTGGAACATTCTTTCCTCTCCTCCTGGTGCTCTAGTTAAACATAGGATAGGCTTTCTTATCTTTCTACATGTCTATGTCCTTAGAGCCTCTCTTCTACATTTTCTACCATTAGTCTCTCTGTGATGCATTCTTGATACTTTTTCTGACCTCTCAGTCTAAAAATTTTCTTCACATGTGTATATCTAATTTCAACTAGTTCCTAGAATCTATTTTTGGTACTCTGGAATCTAAGTCACTATATAGTGTGCTGTGTCTGAAGATATTTCAGTCTTGTGGGGTTTCTTTAAGCATATTAAGCATAGTTGCTTTATCATGTATACCTGATAGTTCCAATATATCAAGATTTTTTTGTTTGTTTGATTTTTTGACAGAGGTATCTATTTTTCTGTCTGCTCCCATTCATGGCATCTTATTTCCTTGTATTCCTCATTATCTTTATTCACCAATGATAGCATTTGAAAATATATTTGTAGGAATAATTTAAGAGCTGGGATGAATGTAGTTTCCTCCTTTGCTTACGTCAGATGCCAGAGGACACCGCCATTCTGGGATCCTCGTAATTCAAGCTGTAGACTTGAGATTTCCTGCATCACCCAAGTCATAAACACAGGTATCACCCCTAAAGTCCTTGGTAATCCCATCTTAAGGTATGTCTGGAATTGCCAGGTTCCTTTGATAATCCTTGGACTTGGACTTCTGTTCTCCTAGCCTTAGGAGTTTGCCAGAACCATGGTTCTATTTCTCAGTGGTTATTTTGGCTCTGAAATGACCTCAAAGTGGAACCTTGCACAAGATACCCAGCTAGGGAAGGTAAGTGAGATCAGAAATACAATCCTTGCTATATGCTCCAAGCCATATGCTAGAGGAAAAGCCCTTTTAAAAACTGCCCACAGAGGACTTTTTTCCACTGTCTGCATACAGGGGCTGCCAGATATGCCAGTGGCGTTCCTGTGTCAAACAAAAGCGGTTTTGACTTCTGGTCTCTTCTCTGGTTTCTTGCCTTTTCCTAGGCTTACATCAGTATCATCAGTAGTTCTTTATGTTCTTGTCAGCTCTTTGATAAATTAAAATATTTCATCCAGATTTTTTGGTTGTCCTCGCTGGGAAGCTAGCTCCAAATTATCTATCCTGCTATTACCGGAAGCAGAAGCCCCTTGTGATTCTTTCAGATTTCTTTTCACTGATATCTCACCTTGTCTTTGTTCTTGTAAGATATACTCTAGCTTATGTTGCAGAAAACTTGACCAATGAGTACAGTAGCTTTGATCTGGATTTTGACTTTTATAGAGCCTTCTTTTTAGAATAAATTGTGGGTCAAAATAACAAATACTCATAAGGCATAAGCATTACAGAAAAGTACAAAAAAGTTAAAAATTCACCCAAAATTTACTCAGAAATAATCATTAACATTATTCTGGAACTCTTTCTATGGTATGTGTGTAGTAAAATAACAGGTGTTATTCCATACTATATGTCATTATTTAATAAATGTTACACTTAATTTGCTTAAAATTGAGAAGATAAAGCTAGAACTGATTACCAATGTTCCCTAAGTTCTTGAAGGATTTGAGCATGTTGGTCCATTATCTTTGTGCCCATTTCAAGGGCAACTTGGCTAAGCACACCATTCTTCATGTCCAACATTACTGTTTCCTAACGTGAGTGGTTTTGCTTTTAGGGTTCTTGTTTACATTTTTTAAGCTTATTTTTGAGTCGGGGCCTCACTCTGTGCGTGTGTGGCACAGTCAAGGCTTGCCGCAGCCTCAAACTCCTGGGCTTACGCAGCCCTTCTGCCTCCATCTCCTGAGCGGCTGGGACTCCAGGCACGCACCACCACGCCCAGCTAATTTAAAAGCCATTGTTTGTGTAGTGACTGTGTTGCCCAGGCTGGTCTCCACTTCTGGACTCAAGCAGTTCTCCCACCTCAGCTTCCCAAAGAGCTGGGATTACTGGTGTGACCCATGCCATGCCCCCTGTTTGCATTTTAAAGTGCAGTATTTGCATTCCATTTTTCTTAATGCATGGATGTAATCAGTCAACAAGCAAATCTGTCAGAAAAGGCACCTGGGTCCCTATTCCTTAAGCTTATGTTGATAATACCTATTGCCTTCACAGATGAATAATATCTATCTATTATTTTTTAATTACTCTAATAATTTTTATCTTCCTTCTGCATCTAGTGTGGTTCTGCATCCATTAAGCCATCCCTCTATTAATAGGATTTTCATCCATTTATAATCTTTAATATGCTGCTTCTACTTCTGTAACTGTGCTAATTTGGTTTTCAATTTGTTTCCATGTCTCTACCTTTTCCCTCTTCATCTTGTGTGTGCGTGTGCACGCACGCATGCTGCTCCTGCTGTTGTTCAGGGATTATGTTTTCTTTTAGAATTGAACTGTCATCCGTCATTACATCAGACACTTCTCAACTTACAATGAGGCTACATCCCTATAAACCCATCCTAAGTTGAAAATGCATTTAATATTCCGATAAACTCATCATAAAGCTGAAGAACTATAAGCTGAACCACTGTAAGCTGGGGACTATCTGTACTTGTTTTATTTTACTATGCTGCTTAAGTGCCATGCCATTTCTTTTCATCTTGCTTATGTATAATAAATTTGGTCCAGACCCTGTTTGCCTGATAAATGGAAGGTGGACTCTCCATTTTGTAGATAGAATAAAAAAAAAATGCTAAGGGGCTCACCTGGAAAATACTATTGTAATGAGTAACATATTGGAGATCTCTCTCAAATCTTATTTTTTAAAAACACAGTTATACTAGTTCTATTGAGATTTTAAGAAATGAGGTTTCACTCTATTACTCTGCATTCACAAATAGTTGTTTCAACTGTGGTTTATCTGCCATAGTTTACCAAACATATCTATCCTGGTCTTTGCCATCTCAGTAGCTAGCAAGATATTGCTTATTGCTACTGTCAGATTTGCTTGATCTGCATAATAAAAAGACTGGATAAGTCACTTGTTATGTTGTTAGATAATGAAACAATTGGATGGAACAACTGCTAGGGTTTATTGATGTCCCCAGGTTATCTTCAGAGCTATACTCCAGTTTTAGCTTTGACTATCCCATTCTACAAAAGTCCACCATCTTTAAAATGTGAAGCATAGACTTAACCACTTAACTAGCAATTCCACTCCTAAACACCCAAGAGAATTAAAATGATCTGTCCACAGAAAAACCTGTATGTGAATGATCACAGCAGCATTACTCAGCATAGACAAAAAATGGACATTTCCTAGATGTCCATCAACTGATGAATAGATAAGCAAATGTGGCATACTGTACAATGGAGTATTTTTGGCTATAAAAAGGAATAAAATACTGATACATGCTATATCACATATGAACCTTGAAAACATGTTAAAAGAAGGAAGGCAGACAGAGAAGACCACATAGTGTATGGTTCCATTTATATGAAATATCCAGAATAGTCAAATCCATAGAGACAAAAATAGATCAGTACTTACCAGGGACTGGGGGAAAAGATGGTGGGAAATGGCTGCTAATGGGTACAGAGTTCTTTCTGGGATGATGAAGTGGTCTGAAATTAGATAGCAGTGATGGTTGCACAACTCTGTAAATATACTAAAAACCAGTGAACTGAGGACAGGCACAGTGGCTCTCATCCTAGTGCTTTGGAAAGCCGAGGCAGGAGGATTGCCTGAGCCCAGGAGATTGAGGCTGCAGTGACCCATGATGGCACCACTGCACTCGAGCCTGGGTGATAGAGTGAGACCTTGTCTCTTTAAAAAAACAAAACAAAGCAAGAACACACACACAATGTACACTTTAAAAGGGTAAATTTTATAGTATGTGAATTCTATCTCAATAATGCTGTTATTCAAAAGAAAAAGGCCATCAACATGATTTCCTATTTCTCACATGCTGGAGGTCAATTACTAGCACTTCCAAATGAGCAAGAAAGATATATTTCATTTAGGCAAAGAGAATCTGAGAGTCTTGATACTAAGTATTGCTAATACATATAATGGCTTAGAACAGTTTTATTTTATACTGTGATCAACAATGGATTAGCTACTTTATCCTTACCTGGGACAAATTACAAGCATAGGTAGTCTAGAAAGAATTACTATATGCCAGAATTTTTTTTAAAAAAGAAAAAGGTTTGTTCTAAGTAATATGAAAACAGAATGAGACAAGGAACTGAACCTGACCCAGGCATGACAATAGGTGTAATGGAATTAATGTGTTAGACAAAAGTTTAACTGAAAGTTGAAACTAAAAGTTTTCAAAACGGACATATTTTTAAAATATACAACATGTGGATACTCAGAACAAAAACTGTCTTCTATGTTCTAGTTCATTATCTCCATTTTAGGTACGCTCTAATGGCATGTTCATAGTAAGCTGAGTTAAAGGTGCTTCTCCCTTCAGAACCTGCTGATGCCCCTCCTGAGTTCACTGGGACAGTCCTCAATGGAAAAGGCCCTCTTCATCACAGCAGCTTTGCTCCATTCCCAGGCCCAACACTGTGAACCACCAAATGGCACAAGACTTCTTTAAGTCAGAGGAACCCAGTCTAGCCCCTCCTGTGACTGCCACTGTATTGGTGCTTTAAGTGCTTGAAGGGAAACATTATTCTGTTGGCTGCAACACACTCCAGCCCACGTTGATACCATAGTGACTATGTTTGCGTGATTGCTTAGAGCTTAAAAACAGAAAGAGAACATCCAGTTTCTTGCATTGAATTTACATATGAAAAACGGAAGAAGACAACTGTTAGTTTTCAAGATCTTTGGCTAAAGTTTCACAGATGAACTGTAAAGTACGTTGGTACAAAAAAGCATCCTTTTTCTTTGGCTTACAAATGTTCAAATGGTTAACGTCCACAGGAATTAGATCTCCAATGCCTAAATCTGAAGAAAAGAAAAATGTCAGGAAACCTAAATGAAAAACATAAGCTTCCCCCTGTCAGTACTGAAAGAGGCCAGATAGTTCTGAATGTCACTTGGTTGTGATCAGGGACTCTTAAATGATAAAGGAACTTCAAGTTTGACTGCAGCTAACCTACATTTGATGAATCATGGGAGAATGGCTTCTCAGTTAAGTATCATCCTGTATGCTTTTCATAAGCTTTTTGTATGTGTTCTGTCCTACCTCCTAACTGAATAGCGAGCAGAGCCTTAGCACTAGAATCTTCAGGACCTTCTTACACCTGCAGGGTACTACTAAATTAATCCACAAAGTCTATCTTTATAACATGCTCCCTTGTCCTGATGAAAAGAATGGGAATGTCTCACGTGCAACCCACTCTCTACCCAAATCCCCATGGTCACTCCACCAGGAGGAAAATGATGTCAGGCTTGACTGCTTGAGATTCCTGAAGGGTTTCTGATATCTCAGGCTACATGGCCAGCTAGGTGAGGAATGCAAGTGAAGAAAGGCCTCTTGGTGACAGAATGGGACAAGGCTGTCACTACACCCGCTGGCCCAGGTTATTAACTTCACTTTGCTTCAAACTTCCAAAGTTATTTTTTTAGAAAAAATACCTAGCAGTTGTTCTTTGAACACCTGAAGTTCTTCAACTACTAAATAGTAATTCCTCACCCTATGGCATATTACTTTGAGGTACAGTTTTCTTTTTTTTTTTTAGTTGGAGTCTCACTCTGTCGCCCAGACTAGAGTGCAGTTGGCCACTCCTGGCCATCACAGCCTCAACCTGCTGGGCTCCGGTGATCCTTCCGCCTCAGCCTTCCGAGAAGCAGGAATTACAGGCACGTACTACCATGCCCGGCTGATTTTTTTTTTTTTTTTTTTTTTTGTAGAGATGAGGTCTTGCCAAGTTGCCCAGCCGGGTCTCAAACCCACGGGCTCAGGCAATCCATTCACCTCAGCCTACCAAAGCGCGGGATTACAGGCTGAGCCACCGAGCCCGGCGAGGTACAGTTTTCTAAAGGTTCACTACAAAGCATGACATATTTTTAATTTTACTTAGATAGTACATAATGAAGCTAGGATGGAAGAACCATCTGGCAGGCCCTCCAGATACACATCGGCCCTGGCAGCAAGACTCTCACTGTGGCTGAGTGAGACCAGGCAGCAAGCAGCAAGTCACTCAGAGATGGTAAGAAAGGGGTTCGGGGGGGTTCCCACAGATGACAAGCAAGGTGAGGGAACAGCAATTCGGAGTGAACTGCATAGGACATCTGCTATGCACAAAGTTAAGATCTGGGCTCTGGCCGGGCTCAGTAGCTCAGCCTGTAATCCCAGCACTTTGGGAGGCTGAGGCAAATGGATTGTCTGAGCCCGCAGGTTCGAGACCAGACCAGGTAACTTGAAGAGACCTTGTCGCTACAATTAAAAAAAAAAAAAGCCGGGTGTGGTAGCACATACCTGTAGCTCCAGCTACTTGGAAGGCTGAGGCAGAAGAATCGCTGGAGCCCAGCAGGTTGACACTGGGGTAGCTGTGAGCATACATCCAGCCTGGGTGATGGAGTGAGACTCCAACTCAAAAAAAAAACAAATCTGGGCTCTGCCCTCAAAGTGCACATAATATACTGCAATGCAGGACAGCAGCCAGCACTGGCCACTTCCCTCAGCCCCAGGATTATGACGAGACCACTTTAGCACTTGCTTTCCCATTGGAACATTCCCTGCTTGAATATTCCCCAGGTATCTTCTACCTACTAAAGCTTCCACATCTTTAGTCAATTTTTTAAGGTTTCTACATGAACTACCAAGCTGTTAAGTAAACGCCCCTTTCAATCTAGCTGTTAGAAGAACTTTGCATTCTTACTTTAATGCAACAGAGTTCACTGTTGACACCTAACTGAGTTCGCCAATTAACCTTTGAGATCAAATTAGTTAAATAAAGGTAGGGGAGGGATAATACCAGGGTTATATGTTTGCAGATAAATTTTAATCTATGACTGAAAAGAATAACTGAATTCGAACTTAGATCTTCACAAAACTATGTCCTAAAACCAGAGAAACTGGATATAAAAATTGACATTTATGATTAAATGCTAAGGTGCAGCCAATTAAGCATCTCATGACCAACAAGTTTCAGAAGAATGAATACCTGCTGATTCCACGGGCACCACATGGAGTTTAATCATGCTACCAATGTAGGTTGGCAGCGTTTCTACAAAATTCAGCACCTGGAAGTTTTTGTCTTTTGCAAATTCCAGAAAGTCATCCTGTAGTGCTTTAAGTGCAGGAGAATCTGTAAAATTATACAGAACACAATTGTGACAAGTTCTGTTTACCCAATTCATAATAAAATGCAGCACTGATCTCTCAAATGTACAGGGGAAATTAGAATTCTGATTCAAGATGGTGCCTTGAGTACACATGCTTATTTTCTCTTCCTGCCAAGAAGCCATTAATACTCAAGGAAAAGCTGGGCTCGGTGGCTCAGCCTGTAATCCCGCGCCTTTGGAAGGCTGAGGTGAGTGGAATGCTTGAGCCCGTGGGTTCGAGACCCGCCTGAGCAGCAAGACCTCATCTCTACAATAAATTAAAAATAAAAAAATCAGCTGGGCATAGTAGTGCATGCCTGTAATTCTGGCTACTCAGAAGGCTGAGGTGGAAGGATCGCCGGAGCCCAGCAGATCAAGGCCGCGGTGGCCGGGAGCAGCCACTGCACTCCAGTCTGGGCGACAGAGTGAGACTCCAACTCAAAAAAAAAAACTCAAGGAAAGAGCTAAAATCAACCAAGAACGGAGAAGACAGTCATCAGAAGGAGAGATTTTTATCACATTACTGGCTGACACCTGGGCTGTTTGGTGTGGGGACTGTAGGCGTGGGGACTGTTTGGTGTGGGGACTGTAGGCGGCCCCAGTGTGATGGCTGGCACCCCCACCCCAAGCCCAGCCTCCCCCCCAACAAAGCCTGGCTAGAGTCACACAGCACCCATCCCTTCCTATCCTCCATCCTCAAGTCTGAAAGGGAAACCAAGACACAGCAGATATTAGAGGAAGCCTAGGACCTGAAAGAGGCCAGAGACACAAACAGAAATGCTACCCACAGAAGACACGGCTCAGTGGGGAAACAGAGAGGAGCTTGAAACCCTCTCATCAGTATCTTTAAAATGATTGGAAAAGATAATGGAGCCATAAAATAAGAAGAGAATATGTGTAAAAAAACAAACAGAACACAGGAAAGAACTTGTGGAAAACAAAATTTGATTTCCAAAAAGTAAAATTCAATAGAAGGTTTAAAAGATAAAATCAAGAAATTATCCAGGAAGCAGAACAAAAAGAAGATATGAGAAAAAGACAACTGAAATATTAAGGTTCAAGCCAGGGAGTCCAAATTTTGGTTTACAGAAAATATGAGAAAAAGACAACTAGAATATTTTGGTTCAAGCCAGGGAGTCCAAATTTTGATTAACAGATGTACTAGAGAGAAAATGCTTATTAATCAAAACAAATATAGCCCTTAAAAAATTTTTTTGGGGGGGTCAGTGTTTACTTGGTCGCCCAGGCTGGAGTACACTGGCATGCTTATGACTCACTGCAGCCTCGACCTCCTAGGTTCAAGAGATCCTTCCTCAGCCTACCAAGTAGCTGGGACTACAGGTGCACACCACCACACCTGGCTCAGTTTTGTAGAGACAGGGTCTTGCTATGTTGCTTTAGGCTGGTCTCAAACTCCTGGGGTCAAGCAGTCCTCCCAACTCAGTCTCCCAAAGTGCTAAGATAACAGGTGTGAGCCACTGCACCCAGCCACACTTAAAATTAATATGTAAAAGATCCCAAAAGCTCATTTATATTTTAATATCAAATAGTTGATGATTTTCCACTCATGGGGAAAAAGGCAATTTATTGGTAATTTGGGAATAATAGTTAAAGCAAAGCATTATATAGTTTCTCTAATTTTAAGTATGTTTGGTGATTAGTATAAGTTATAATTATTATATTATTATAAACAAATAAGATTATTGCTATCTTTGAGTAAATAATGGCTTAAGAACAAAAAAGAGGCTGGGCACATTAGCGCAAGTCTGTAATCCCAGCTCTTTGGGTGGCTGAGGCAAGAGGACTGTTCGAGATCAGCCTGGACAACTTGGTGAGACCTCGTCTCTACAATAAAATCAAAAAATTAGCCAGGCATGATAGCACACGTCTATAGTTCCAGCTATGTGGAAGGCTGAGGAGGAATGATCGCCTGAGCCCAGTAGGTTGACACTGGGGTGGCCATCAGTGTCCCACTACACTCTAGCTTGGGTGACAGAGTGAGACTCCAACTTAAAAAAAAAGAGAAGGTATCAAAAAAAAAAATCAAGTCTGGGTGGTGGCTCACACCAGTAATACCAGCACTTTGGGAGGCTGAAGCAGGAGAACTGCTTGAGTCCTGGAGTTTGAGACCAGCCTGGGCAACATTGAGAGATCTTGTCTTTATGAAAAACAAAAAAATTAGCCAGGCATGGTGAAACATGCCTGTAGTCTCAGCTACTCAGGAGGCTGAGGCAAAAGAATCACCTGAGCACAGGAGGTCAGGGCTACGGTGAGTTGTGATTGTGCCACTGCACTCCAGCCTGAGCGAGAGACCTCAACTCAAAAAAAAAAGATAAGAAAAATTAAGCTCAAGTCAAAACTTTTCCATGAATAGTCTAAACACAATTATATTCAAATAATAAAATGAAATTATATATTCAAGAAAGAAACTGGGCTTTTCTCCTTCTCCTATGGAACTAATGTTAACACAACCTCAGTTTCCTTCGTGACAGAAAGTATTACCCTTGCTGAGTTCTTTGACTTCCAAAGACGGAAAGAGAAGATAGCGAATATGAACAGAGTATTCAGCCAGACGTGATCCATGATGAGGGACACTGTAAAAAATTATTCCTCTGGTGTTGTTGATAACAGTGCTCATTTCTGGCTTCTTAGAGGCTTCCAACAGCATCTTTTTGACAAGAAGACCTAGCCACAGGAAGAAAGAAAACGTATAAGCTGTTTTCCTTCCCTCCATTCTAAAAACAAAAACAAAAAGGCCAAACAAGAAATACTCCTGATCCTTGTAGTGCAAGCCTATAATCATCTGTGGGGCAGATATTCATCTCACAAGACTGACTGGCCCCCGCAGGAATGTGAGGCCCCCAGGGTTGGGGGCTCCTTCACAGCATGAATATGCAGCTACTGGTTTCCCAGCCTGCCACTGCAGCCCACTAATGCCTGCCTTTAGGTCAGGACTAATATTCCAAACACAGCCCACCGTGGAAAACACAGCTTCTATGGGAACTGTACCTAGGAAGGTACTTTCTCGTCCATCCTCCTCTCCTGGGTCTGAAACCGATAGCGAAATGCAAAGATCACACACACTGGTGAAAGTGGGTCTCTGAGGTCACAAAAAGCTAACATCCACCTTTCTCCTGAATGCTTCCTTGGATAAATTGGGCCGGGGGCTGCAGAAAGGCGTCTGCAGCAAGGATGGCAAACATCTTGAACTGGATCGGGGAAAAGAGGCTGGAGGAACAGGGGAGGTGGCTTCCAAAGTAAGCACGAGGATGCTGGAACAGACATGCCAGCACATCGCCACCTCAGCAGCCCGGGGCCTGGTGTGGGCAGGTGCCGGGCGGTGGGGGCTGTGGGCACCAAAGCAACAGTGACTCTGCAATGGTGAGGGGTACAGAAAGGAAGAAAGGGGACTCCCTGGAGCCACCCGGGAATGCTGAGGGATGTTCACAAGTCAGGCTTATAAGAGCCAAGGGCTGCTTGTAGCTCTCCTATGCGGCTTGTTGTGAGTTGTCCCCATCTAGAGAAACAAACAGCATGGAAGGAGAGCAGTCATTCAAAAACTCCCAGCCACGGCCAGAAATATTAATGTAGGGGACAAAAAGGGTCACTATTAAGTAAAATGGAGAGATGCAGTGGCTTAGCCACAGTGGCTGACAATGATCTCACGACAGTCACTCTGCAAAGCTGAACCCACACTCACCTCCCATGCTGTGTGAGATCCAAATCATTGGCCGATCCCCTACACCAGCAGCTCTGAGCTTCCTAAGAAGTTCATCACTCCTGAATGCAATGGACTTTCTGAATAAAACAAAAACAGCAGGTATGACGAGAGGCCATCAATCCCCCCAATTTTGCTATCTACTTTTTTTTTTGACTGGAGTCTCACTCTATCGCCCAGGCTGGAGTGCAGTGATTGCCTGAGTCCAGCACCAGCAGGTCTACGCTCACAGCCACCCCAGCGTCAACCTGCTGGTGCTGTACTCAGGCAATCCTTCCTTCTCAACCTTCCAGGTAGCCAGAACTACAGGCACGCGCTACCACGTCCAGCTAATTTTTTTATTTATTGTAGAGATGAGGTCACACCAAGTGCCCAGGCTGTTTTCAAACCCATGTGCTCAGGCAATCCCCTCACCTTGGCCTTCCAAAGTGCTGGGATAATAGGCTTGAGCCACCGCGCCCAGCCTGCTTTCTACTTTTTAAAGTTAAGAACTTCTGCTTATAGGACATAAGCTGTATACTATATTAGAGTTAGGAATACCCCATTCTCACTATTCTTTCTGAAATTGCCCATTCTCTATTTGTAACTTATTATCACTGGCATAATTAGGACTATTTAAGCCCAGAAGTGGCCATTTATCTATAAAGAAAGCATTGCTTGAGCATGTAATATGTGTTTGTCCCTTTTTACTTGGGTCTCCCCCCAACAGCCCCACCACCTGGGATGAGGACTTCCATGCTCATTCCAGGCCCAACGATGAAAACATCACTGAAGACTCTGTGGTTCCTTTTGTGAATTTTAGTTCTACTTGTAGTTATGCTGCAAATATTAAGCTTTTATCATTTTGGTTTATTATTTAGAAATACTAGGAAGTTATTAGAATCAGATAGTTCAAAATAAATATTTTCAAACTGAAAGGGAACTTCAAAACTATCTAGTCTGGTAGTTGCAAACAGTTTATCTGTAGATATGTTTCTTCAAAATAAAAGTTCTCCAGGGCTCCTCTGTGTGAAATGAGGAGGGAGACCTGGGGTCCTGCCCACTTGCCTTGACCCTGCTCTAGGGCAGCTATGTGGGGTCCATTCAGAAAGCAGTTTGATAACAACAGTTTGATTCAGATCACCTCTCTCAATCTGCAGACAAACTTCCCAGACAAGTTAAGCGACTTGTCTAAGACTGCACAGTGAGTCAAAGACAGGCTCTGCTATCATCTCAGTCCTGTAACTCAAAAATCCAGTGCTCCTTCCTATGTACACAACTGGCACACAGGACTTACAAAGGACATGGCAGTGATCCTGCTCAGAGCCTAGTCTTTGCTTTCTCTGGCCAGTATGCTTGTGAATACAAAGCAAAAAACCTCATTTTTACTTCTGATAGAAAGAGAGACTTTGCTATGGGATCCATGGTTCTTAACTGTAAAAATAGTTGCAAACGAACCATGTTAGGAGCCAAATATTAACAATATATCTGAGCCTTCTACTCTTTCATTGTTTATTTAAAACAAACTCCTTCTAGAAGGAAGAAAAAAAGTTAGGTTAGTTTTTCATAAGAAATCCTTTCTGTGGCATCAAAAGAGAAAATTCATGTCTCATCCCAGAGGGCCTGAACTTGTAGCCTGAACCTTCCCCCTTCCTCCAGGTCTACCCACTGTTACCTTTCCATAGGGCACCTTGCTCTCCAGTCACTGAGGTTGGTGTCATATTCCACAGATATAATTCGGAGAGCAGGGCAGTCTTTTGCTAACCACGTCTAAGCAAAATAAAAGGTACATAAGAACAGGTATGAATTTCCACCACTCCAATGACTACCTAGTAATTGAATTTATAACTAAAGACCTCTTGCAATATTGACAACTAAAGATAGCATTGGAATAAAGTTTGAAAGAGACTATAAAAACAATTGCAGCATTTTATCTTTCTATGTCTCTGATCACAAAGTGATATCAATATTTATAGCATGGGCCAATTAAGGTCTTAAGAGAATAGTCTCAATTTTGATCTGTTATAGCCAAAAGTAAGGCTGTTTTTGGAGTCTAGAGCAAATTGGCTTTTTGAAAGCATTTAGTAGAAAGCTCTCATTTCAGGACAGATGGCATGGGTCTAATGGTTAGACTCTGGACCTGAAAATTCAGACACACTAATAACAACAGTTACAGTTCTGTCCCTATGAACCCTAGATCTGTCCTCATTTCTGTACTTCAGGGAGAAAGTGCAAACCCTTCTGTCTACTTGAGAAGACTTTGTGAAGGTAAGAAGTGGTAGAACAAAGCCTCGGAACGATTCACACACACATGCAGCTTTGCTTGTAAGTGAGCGTTGGATATATCCATTCAGTGAACTCATTCCAGAGTTAAAGCACTTTGGAAGAAATTATGTCAAAGAAATGCAAAGTAGAATCACTTCTTCAATGTCTTTCTATTTTCATAATTATTAAGATCACACAACTAGGTAACTACTATGAATATAATTATGGTTATAAAATATTATTTTTGTATTATGTTTCAATGGAAGCAAACTATTACTGGCTCTTGCCCCTGTTTTTTACTTAATGGAATATTCTTTTTTTTTTTAGATTGGAAAATACAGTTTATTTAGAAAGCAAATTAGATAGAGAGAGAGACAGAGAGAGAGAAAGAGATTTACCTCCCCAAGATAGGGGAGGGAGCCAAAGTGAAGCCGGCATATTCTTTTAAAGTCATAGACTGCATCCTAAGCAAAAAAAACACATCATAGGGTGGGACAAGCCCAGTCGTTATCGTAACATATCACAGGTGTCCCTAAGGAAAAAAATCAACAATATGGAAAAAAGATCCCAGTAAAAAGAAAAATAAGCAATGAGGGCCCTAACAGCCATGACACTTCAGTGTGTCATGACAGAGGTGGCCTGCCAAGGTTGCTGCTTCCTTACCTTGGGCCAACATGTCGTATACTTATCTTCATCTTCTAAAGCTTTTTCGATGTTAGCCTGCTCGCTGTCCTGTTGGCGCCATGTTTTGAATGCTGCTCCCATAAGGCCATGAATAAAAAGGACATCTGCTTTAATGGGCTGACTAATAGGGAGAGAGTTTTAGAAAGAAGCAGAATAAATGCATTATTGCTTTAGTAAGAAGCTACACAGCATTCTTTGTAGATGCTGCTTTAACGAGTTTATGTGACAAAATAAAACTTAATTAAAGCAGGCTTTGTAAGCACAGGCTTGCTGAGGAACCCTAGAAAAAGTTTTGGCAAAGACTTACATGGAGTGTGCGCACTGCTGTCTCACTAAAGATAGAGACGTATGTAGTCAGGCAGACCAACACAATCAATTGCAATGAGCTTAGAGATCAATCAAGTGACAGATGTCACAATCAGATCACCCTCTAAAGAATTCCATGAGAATATTCTAAAAAATCAACAAAAGTACTTAAGAAATTAAATGAGAATAATGCTAATATAATTTCAAAACCAGTATGTATGAAAGAGATTTTCAAAAATGTATTAATAAAAGTAATATTTATCAGAAATCAAGAAAATAAGATTTTAAAGTAACAAAGTCTTTCCTCAGATATGACATCTTAAAAATTATATAGTATCTTAGTTGGAAGCTATTTATAGTACACACACATATAAAATATATTACCATAATATTTTATTTACAAATCAGAATTAGCCAGGCAATCCACTTTTCAAATACACTTATTTAAAATAATTTTTTGCTATTTTCAGAGGCATTTTTTGTAAAGTGTCCTATGAAAATCCAAGAAATATGCCACTTTTTCACTGTAGTCCTTTCTATATTTGATGCCTCAATAGGGATACAACTAGATATAGTGACCACAAATAGCTTTAAGAAGAAGCACGAGTCCAGTGTGTCACCATGCGTTCCTTCCAATGCCTGCTCTTGTACCTAGCACAAACTTGGTCCAGTGCCTTAAGTTCTAGGCCCAGGCTAATTTGGTTGCCTGCACACATCTTATCTCCTTCCTAGTCAGACTGACTTCTGCCATCCAAATCAGTTATTAGCTTGGATCTAAGTGAAATGCCTTGAAACAAAAAAGGTATATATTACAAAGTTTAAGTGCAACACCTACAAAGGACTATAAAACATGAATGCATCCTTACTGAGGTGAGTCCTTTGTAAAATAACCCCGATAATGTAGCTAACTCATACGCTTTTCATGACAACCTTCCATTCTGAGGTTATCATGGACAAATTATCTCAGGAAATAAAGTATCTGACGTATAAGGTTTTTAACTTATCTAAATTATGCAAAAATAAATTGAAAATGTAAGCCCTCTAGGCTTTATGCTCCCAAAGGACACAGGACAAAGTGACAGTTCTGCCTTCTCACCTCGTTCGATACTGGGGATGCAGCACATACACGCCGTCCTGGTATTTTTCTTGTACAGTTTCTCGGTCTAGATTGGCCAGGACTCTGGCAGCATGTGAAGCCTCCATAATGTGGTGAGATTTCACTGCTTCTGCCATGATGGAAACCCAGCCTGGTGAAGAGAACACAGATCCTATTTAGATATTGCCATGAGTTTATCTGAGATTCTCAAGAGAGTTTTCAAACTAAATGTAATAGGAGAAGGGCAGAGCTCGCATCTCTCGTTGGTAGAGAAGCCTGGACATTCCCACTCCATTCTGCCCTATGATCCTCTGAGTCTCACGGCACAGTGCCATGATGTCCCCAAACCACATATCCCCTTAAGGGATCTCAAAGAAGGAAAGGGGTTCAAGAGCCATTTTTTTTATTTAGAAAATCTAGCACAAACTACAATTATTAAAGGTAAAGTCACAAAGGTGAACAAAATACCTTGATGTTTTACCTTCAACAAGAATTATATAACATATAGGATCTACAAGAAACTCAAATATACTGAAAAGAAAAAAACAAACAGCCCTATTAAAAAGTGGACAAAAGATGTGAGTAGAAACTTCTCAAAAGAAGACATATGAGCAGCCAACAGATACATGGAAAAAATGCTCAGACTCACTAATCATCAAAGAAATGCAAATCAAAATTAGACTGAGATACCACCTAACTCCAGTCAGGATGGCCATCATCAATAACTCAAAAAACAACAGATGCTGGAGAGGATGAAGGGAAAAGGGAACATTTCTACACTGTTGGTGGGAGTGTAAACTAGTACAACCTCTGTGGAAAACAGTGGCGATTCCTAAAAGATCTGAAAAATGACCTCCTATATGACTCAGCGATTCCCCTTCTGGGAATAAACCTGGAGGAACTGAAATCATTCTATAAAAAAGATACTCATGCACGCATGTTTATTGCAGCACTATTCTCATAGCAAAAACATGGAACCAACTGTGCTGCTCACTGAAACTGGACTGGATTAAAAAAATATGGTACATATACACGATAGAATATTACGCAGCCATAAAGAAGGACAAAACTATGAACTTCACAGCAATTTGGGTGGATTTAGAGTCTGTAATACTCAATGATCTATCACAAAAACAAAGAACTGGGTACCACATGTTCTGACTCATAAGCAGACCCTGAACAATTATCATAATACTACAAGAAAGGTATCAGCAGTAGTGGGAAACTGCCAGGGGAGGGGTGGGAGGGATACTTCATCAATAAGGGTACCTGATCTCAAACCAGGTGAAATGGGGACCAAAGTGAGATCCAAACTTTACCTTTATAATGACCATTTGTATACCTAATCCTGAATTGTACCCTACATCTTTAAAATAAAAATAAATAATAAAATTCAGTGAGTTAATACCAGTTATTTCATCCTGATCAGCTATCATATTAACAGCCTCTAATACAAATGAGAAAATTTTTTCTTAATATTGAATTTATTTGATATACAAAAATTCTGTAAAACCTGGGGCTCAGAAAGAAAAAATTATTTTTTCAAGGGAAGAAAACAGAAAAATCATGGATAATATTATGTACTATTCATTTTGTCATGTTTTTGTTTTTAAAACTTTATACATAAATATGTACAAAAGTGCATGTGTATACACATACACACACAAAAACACAAAGATCTGGAAAGACACACCAAAGTCATTACCTCTTAGAAAGGAAGTGGGGTAGAAAAGGGCTCTGTAAAAAAGGTAGATTTAGCTTTTTTGCTATGTCTGTTTTCTGAAGCACTTACAATGAGAATCTATTTCTATGCTATTTATATAGTTTAAAATAAAGTGGGATGTGGGCCTTGAGCTCAGCGATGCATTCCCTGCTACCTTGCGGTGGAATCTCAGTCACGTGATTTAGCAGCTCTGAGCTGAAGGAAGGTTTTCATAAGTTAATGCACATGAAAACACCGGGCCTTTTACCAGGCCCAACAGACACTCAGGAGATGACAGCTGTTCCCATGTCCTTCTCTTACTCTTCATGACAAAAGTGTCAAGAATCACTGTGGTGATGGAAAGCCAGCATTTAATAATCTAATCCTTTAGCAATATTCACATTTATAGTGTTAGAAAATTCCTCTTCAAAATATGTTCAAGATTTTATAATAATAAAATAAAAATGTTTAAATTCTACCTATAGAGATATACAAGTATGCTATTAGTATGTAGAAAACTGTGGTTTTATTTTTAATGGAGTCACAAGAAAGGAAACTCAAGAAAAAGCATGGTACAAACCATCTCTAGCATTTTTAGACGACAAAATATTCACCTAACAGTGTTTTGGTCTATAACAAACCACTTATGCTGAGGTGGTTCCATAAGATTATAATACCATGCTTTTACTGTACCTTTTCTATGTTTAGATACTCAAATACTTCCTGCTGTATTACAATCACCTACAATGTTCAGGACAGTGACATGCTGTACAGGTGTGCAGCCCAGGAGCATTAGGCTGTACCACGTAGCCTGATGTGGAGTGGGCTAGACCACACAGGTTTGTATAAGTGTACTGTACGATGTTCACACCATGACAAAACTGTCTAATGCCACATTTCTCAGAATGTACCCTTGTTGTTAAGCAATGCATGCCTGTACACGTTAAGTGTGAAAAATAATGAAATGCCCGAAAGCAGCAGTGAATGGTGGATTTCTGCTTCAGCACTCCCATCATTTCCCAACTCTATTCCTATCCTCAGAGTAGCCAGAGTGAGATGCATGGTGGATACCCTACCAAACCTTTAGAAAAAGAAAGTCATGTATCCAAATTTGTACATATATGATGTAGCTTTACATGCATTTTTTACCTGGATAGAATCATACTATTCCTACTGTTTTGTTGTGATTTGATTTTATCCTTCACCAATATGTTCCAGAATGCTCGTCTTAAACATCAACATCATTCTTTTTAGCCATAGCATTAGACAGTACAAACACATCTGTGTTGATTTAAACATTATTCATTTCTATTGGCAGACACTTAGGTTCTTTCCTGTTTTTCCATACTATAAATAATATTCCAATGAACGTTCTTATACACAAATCTTTAAGAGCATCCATGAGGATTTAGATGGACAAAGTTCCTAGAAGTATTATTACTAGATCAAATGGTATATACATCTTTTTTTTTTTTTTGAGTTGGAGTCTCACTCTGTTGCCCCAGACTGGAGTGCAGTGGCCGCTCCCGGCCACCACAGCCTCGACCTGTTGGGCTACGGCGATCCTTCCGCTTCAACCTTTCGAGTAGCCAGAATTACAGGCATGCACTACCACGCCCAGCTGATTTTTTGGTTTATTGTAGAGATGAGGTCTCACTGCCCAGGCAGGTCTCGAACCTGCGGGCTCAGGCAATCCACTCACCTCAGCCTCCCAAAGGCATGGGATTACAGGCTGAGCCACCAAGCCTGGCTTACTTCTCTGTATATATATCTTTTAATAGACACTCCCAGGTCCCAAGAAAAATACTGAATCAGCTCACAGTATAGGAGGGGGCCAGTTCTCACACACCTTCACCAATAGTAAATATTATCAATAGCTTTTTAACTTTTATAAATTGGAAGGCAAAAGTTTGCAATTATGGTACTATTAAGATTGAAATAAAATATATAAAAACAGGTAAAGATACAGGATGCCTAAGAGGGGAGAAAAACAGGGTGAAGTAGAATTCAAATTGGAGCATTTAGAAGTAACAGGACACAAAAGATGAAGTCACATCTGACCCTGAAGAAATACAAAAGATCATTAGAGACTACTCCGTACACTTGTATGGAAACAAACCTGAAAACCATAAGGAAATGGAGGACTTTCTGACATCACACAACCTACCTAGGTTGGAAAAAGAAGAAATTGAGACTCTAAATAGACCAATAACAATCAAGGAAATTGACTACGTAATAAGAAACTTCCTAC